TTGCAGTATATATATACTCGAGGGGCAATTCGCTGAGCAGAATGATGTACACTAATTCCTCAATGCCAAAACAATGCTCCTTAATTCACTATATTGACTAGTAATGCCCCATAATTCCTCGTAATGCCTCGTAATGCCTCCTAATGCCTCCTAATGCCCCTTAATGCCTCGTAATGCCTTGCAATTCCTCGCAATTCCACTGTAATTCCTCACAATTCCACTGCAATTCTTTGCAATTCCTCATATTCATTCCGATTTATAATGAATAATATAAAGATCAGAATATTTTATTATGTTGTGTTTTTGTAAGAATAACTCACCCTGTATAGAAATGATCGGAAATCTGATCTCAGATTAAAAATCTACGGGAAAAATCCTACAGGAACTTGTTGAAAAAGTTTCTGGTACCATTTCAGTTATTCCGTAATAAATTAGGTATTTTCAATTTTTTCACTGGAGGAATTTAATTGTCTGATGAAGTACTTACCCAAAAAAACTTGAGAAAAAATTCGTATCAAGGCCGGAATGAAAATTTATTATGTTCAGTTCTTGTAAGAATAATTGACCTAGTAAAAGAATCATCAATAATCTGATAGCAGATTTGAAATCTAAACTAAGAAAAAACCTAAAAGGAACTTTTTCAAAATGGAATTGACTGAATTGTTTGTGGATTATATTTGCTTACTAATGAACGCTAATAAATTAGTACTTTTCCGTAGAATTTGAATCTGAGATCAAATTTTTGATAATTATTATACAGGGTAACTCAACATGATCAAAAGAGAATACTCTGGTCCTGATATTGGTTTCTTCATACTTGATAAGGCCTTTTAGTTTTATTCATGTACAGTGTGATTCACCATAAATGTCCCCCCCTCTAGCTCACCTATTTTTGAACCGATTTGAAAATTTGAGAAATAATCTGAAATGATTTTTCAGATTTTTTTTTCCGTGGCATCAGAAAATACAGGGTGCTCGGAACAAACGATCTACAGAGTACTACTTGATTTTTCCAAATGGAACACCCTGTATTCCATTGAATTTTCAGATTCTTCCTGAAGAGCTGATTTCATCAATACATCACACTTGGGGTCTAGCGGGAATGATTACAGAGATAAAGGGTGTTCAAAATCGAGATTTTTCATTTTTAGGATTTTTTTGTGTCGAAACTATTCATTATTGTTCAAAACGGCTTCTATGCCCCCATCTCAACTTTTAATTCACTATCTACTGACATAATTGGAACATTGACAGGGTGGTTCAAGATTCAGAATCCTGATCACTCTGTATCTGTTCCAATTATTAAATGTCAGTAGATAGTTAATCAAAAGTTAAGATACGGACATGAGAGCCATTTTGACCGATAATGAATAGTTTCGTCAGAAAAAAATTCTAAAGTTGGAAAATCTCGATTTTGAACACCCTATATCTCTGTAATCATTTCCGCTAGACCCCAAGTGTGATGCATTGATCAAATCAGCTCGTCAGGGAGAATCTAAAAATACAATGAAAAAAAGGGTGTTTCATTCAAAAAAATCAAATAGTACCCTGTAGATCGTTTGTTCCAAGCACCCTGTATTTTTTAATATTGCAGAAAAAAACTTTATCGAAAATCATTCAAGATGAAATTTCAAATTTTGAAATCGGTTCAAAGATAACTGAGCTAGAGGGGGGGACCTTTATGGTGAATCACCCTGTACCAAATTTAATACAAATCGGCATTTAATATGGAGGATTTAATTTGTTGTCCAAACTAACAAATCACGCTGTATGTCAGTAACGAAGCGGTTTTGGACATTATTTGTATACATGGCATTTTGCAATTATATTGGCAGTTTCTATATAACCCCACGAGTTTTGTCGTTATCTCCGGATACCCTGTATATCTAGTAAATACCAACCTAATTATCTGAAGGACTAATTAACTTTTTATTATAAAACTTCTACAATAACACCCAAAATAAGAACAACCAAAATAAATAACCGAGTAAATAACGTTTATTCGTCACTTACTTTGTTTATTTCAGAGCACATCAGATACCAGAACAGCGTATGTGTAATATCGTGATGTCTTTTTCCTAACCTAGCTAACAGTCTACTGAAGGATTTCACGTTTTCCGTTAGCACAACTTGGAACACGTGGCGAGCGATGACGTAATCGAGATATTAACGCATGCGCATTTCATACTATAATGCCGCAATAATGCATCATTACTCCTTGCAATGCCACGCAATTCCTCGTAATGCCACACAATTCCTCGTAATGCCACACAATTCCTCGTAATGCCACGCAATTCCTCGCAATGCCTCGTAATGCCTCCCAATTCCTCGCAATGCCATGCAATTCCACTGTAATTCCTCGTAATTCCACACAAGTGTACACCAAAATTCCTCAGCGAATTTCCCCTCGTATATACTGAACTGAATAGATGAACGAACATCAAAAATTGATCTTGTTGGCATTTTCACAAAAAACTGATCATATAATGACATTCACAGAATTGGAAGACGCGAGACTGCTGATATAGCAGTCGAATATTATGGAAATCAAAATCGTCATTTTACGTTCCGAGTGTTGAACAGTTTAAATTATCAGGTCTAATGTTCCTTTTTTTCGATAGTCAAGAAACACTGCTGTGTAAACGTTGATTTTGTGGCGAAATTTGAGAAAATCACCACATTGAACGTCATTTGATTTGTGTACCCATCAAGTAGGTACATATACTGAGTACTTAAATCCAATTGAAAGAAAAAGGCACGTTGCTTTCTTGATTATTCGAATTTGGGTCGAAATTCCTGAGGGTGGCGAAGAGAATAACGAAACGTTGGTGTGATAGGTATTGAAATAAACAGACCAACCTCTGAAGTGTTACATCTGTTCTGTGATTTCAGGTGATATCAGATTTGGTACTTATATACCTATCTTATATGTATTCCGGGCTCTTTTTTTTTCTCAACAAGAGAAGTGCGACAAAGAATATTCATTCATTATTTTTTTCATAGCGTTAGATACCTATATCAGCTTGATCTGGCTCAATCACATGATTATACTGAAAATCATGCTTTTTTCAGTGGTTGTTCCAGCGCCGTTCATAATATTCATCGAGATATTCATTAACACAATTATAATTACTATTTTCAGAGTGATTATCATATATAAACGAGAAAGTAAGTGAGCTTCAATAATTGGTGATTGGTTCAGTTCAACTATTGAACTCAATTGCACTTCATATCGATAGTTATCAATTTCTGATATTAAGTATAATCGAAAATATTAAATAGTTGTATGAAATAAATAATTTGTGGGTTTCTTGTTTCACTACCCATTGCAGTCTCCACATCAGGATATGGAGAATCTATCTAATAAATTATTATCATGCAACCAGATCTCCTTCGACATGTCCCCAAACTGGCTGATTATAATCTACTTCTATAAATATGATAAGGTCTCAAATAGTTATTTTTTTGGTAGAAAATTGCGAGGTGAATTGGATGGGTTTGAGCATTGTCATGATAGCAGCGTTCAATTTAACTATTTCAAATCGTATCAAATTCCGGTCTCTGATGTTTCTGTTCTTTATATTCATACTCTTACTTGACTATAGGTAGTACCTATAAACTGAATTCATATGATCACAAAGTGCCTTTACTCCACATTGGGAGGAAGCTACTGCACAACGAATCTCCTCTTCTCTATAACCTACACTGAAAAAAAAATTGAGTGAAATTTCACTCAAGGTCCACGCAATAATGAGTCAATTTCGGTCCACGCCCGATTGAGTTGAAATTGCACCCTACTCGACTGTGTAAAATGGTAATTCATGAACCGATTCAATCAAATTTTTTATAAACATTCTCATTGATATGAGAACTTGATGAAATAACTAGTTTGAGTTGAGAATTCACTCAAAAATGTCAATCAGTGAATTCACTCACAACCACATATGCATTCACTCAGAGGAATTTTCTACAGTGTACTCTCATGATCAAAATAATATTTTTTGTGATGACTCGACTGTTACTTGATGGATATTCGTGAAACGTCAAAGACTCCAAAAATTATATAGGATTTCCAATTAATAACACGACATGTTGAAATTGAAATTACCTGTGGAATGGTTAATTGGGCCTCAATTTTCATAAAAGTATACGCTAAACATTAAATTTGGTGTACCTACACTACCTACAGGATCAACTTGATAATACTATAGGAGAACATGCAGATTCAACAACGGTGAATTATCGAGGTCTAATTCATTGTTCAGTGATATGTGTGAATTTTTGCGATTGATGATTCCAGATAATTGCTGGTGTAGTCCTTCATTTTCAACATGTACAATTCCAAAATTTTCATCATATCTTTTGTTATTGTCTAATATATGGTTCGCGTAAATTGAATTCATTTTCTCTTTCAGATAATTCATTATACCTATGTTCATGGATTCAGAATTGATACGTTCGACCTGACTGACCTAACTTGACCCTTGGACAAGATCCAGGCACAGTTCTTATACCCCTGAGTTCTAGAGTTCAGAAGTTTCATCTTCATAATTACTGAGAAACCATCGCAACGAGTTATCTATTCTATATATAGGCAACTTTCATGCCCTCTTCATGTAGAAGTGAAGCAGTTGTCAATTGATGATCCGGAATAGTTTGAAGATTTGAAATTCTGATTATTGTCCTTGATGGTAGGATATACTTTTTGAATTGCCTCATTACGGTATTTGTTTGTAGAAAGCTCATCGTTTCTATTGTTTTCGACGCATCAATACAATAATTGAAACAATTATCAATTGATAGTATAATTAAGAAATTTTTAAGATAACTCTGCTGAATTCTCATATTTCCATAGGTAAACTGTTTGATGAATCAGTGGTCATACTCAGTCTCTTCTTCATTTGTATAATAACAATAATTTTACATTGCAAACTCCATCATAATCATTGAGTGAAGTGAAATATCATAAAACCCGTCTTGAAAAAATCCAATTCACTTACTTTTAAGTCCTATGTTAGCACCGTCCACACAACAATCAAGAGTCCATATGAATCCCTTAAATCACAAACAACCGCCTCCAGAGCTCACTTCGCGCACACAATCCACCTGTTGAACAGTCCACTGCACCACGTGCTGCGATTTCCGACGGTCGTTTAACACTGCCACTCGATTACCACCTGAAGATTTGAGCCATCAACTGAGCGACCTCTCTCGCTGCTCTCCCAGCGAAGATCCGTCGAGAAATGAGTAAGGAACTCCTCCGGACCCATAGAGTCCAGTGGAAGGGATCCGGCCGGATGTGTTTCTACCTGTCGAAGGCATCGGCGCTAGGTGGAGGGGTGAATTATCGATATTGGAATTAGTGTCGTTCGCATAGCGATGTTACGACTGCGAGCCATTGGTGTGAATCGAGGGGTGGGGGGAAGAGTGAGATCGCTGAGGCGATTTTTATGCCCGCCGGGTTCAGTTGATGCTGGAGCGGAGAAGCAGGCGGATATAGCGATGCGGAAATGTTTATCCTGGGTTCTTCGATTCGCCCATTGCAGTATCCCCCATGAAGTATCTGGAGGTTGCTGGTCTGTAAGGCTATTGGAGTCTCCAATATAGTTTCTGGTCTGCACTTTCATTAAAGTCTCCAGTTGTTTCTTGTCTGGTCACCTATTGACGTCTCTGGTAGTTACTGTCTAGATACTTTATAGATACCCATTGACATTTCTGAACGTTTCCTCTTCAAATATCTATATAATTCTCTAGTAGCACCCCATTGGAAACTATGGATATGTCGTATCTATGGATACCTACTTGAACATTGAGTTTCGCGTCTGAACGGCTGTCGAAGTCTCAATATCTATTGACATCGTTGAAAATTTCTTGTTATGAGAATGCCTACTGAATTGTCTTGTCTTGTAATTTAGGTCCAGATGTTTACTAAAATTTCGCATTCTTTCTTGTCAGAATTCAAATAGGACTCTGTGGTCTGACCACCTATTGCAATCTCCATCAGTCAACGTTACACGAGAGTAAAGATAGATATTTTTGGCCAATTTTTTAAAAGGTTTTTGGAAGTCATTGGTAGATAATCATTCCAATGCATTGGAACAATAGTTTACATAGTTTCTGATATAAGAAGCTTTGGAATTCTGTACCAATGAAAGTATTCCCAAGAACTTATATACAGGGTGTTATTTAAGTACGTAGCCAAACTTGAAGGGGTGATTCTTTGGGTGATTCTAAGACGAAAAGTTCATATAAACATAGGTCCGGTAATGCTTCGTTTTCAAGATACAGGGTGTCAAAATTTTTAAAAGAAATCGTTTTTTTCGTAAATATCTTAATAACCCTTCAACCGATTTCATTGAAATTTGGCAGTGTTATTCAAGGTCGTAAAAAGCTAATTCAACCCTAACTATATCAAAAATATTAGTAAGACCCCAGTTTTTGATGGTTTAGTAGTTGAAATGTTTTATTGTGTTGTCACAGGGATGTGCAATGAAGTGATTTTTATGTTTTTTTCTCAAAAACAAAGCAAGATACGAAAAAAATTCTGAATATAAAAAAGTTGTAATTTCAGTTGCTCAATGTGAAACGAATAAAAAAATTGCAAAAAAATCAGTGGCGCACATTTTGTCTGTCAAATATTGGTTACAGTGCCTTCCGGGACGCCACTGGACATGATAATTTTGATATAGTTGAGGTTAAATTAGCCCTTTACGACCTTGAATAACACTGCCAAATTTCAATTGAATTGGTTGAAGGGTTATTAAGATGTTTACGAAAAAAAAATTTCTTTTAAAAATTTTGACACCCTGTATCTTGAAAACGAAGCATTACCGGACCTATGTTAACATGAACTTTTCGTCTTAGAATCACTCAAAGTATCACCCCTTCAAGTTTGACCACGTACGTAAATAACACCCTGTATATCATTCAAAAGTTCAAAAAAATTCCAACAATATAGATATCCCCTTGAGTGAGTTGCAAGAGATGAAATTGATCTTCCTGAAGCAATAAAATACGAACAAATGGAGTATGAACATGAAAAAAATACAAATCACGAGGTGAAAGCAATATCGAATTATAGGAATATCTATATTAGTTTTCCAGTAGGAATTTGGAAGATGATATGAAGTTGTATCTTCACGAATAAAAACAATGAGTTCAAATATACTTCCTCATTACTAACGAATCTGGTGTTGTTCAGAGGTTTCATATTGTGAGGTAAAGCATTGTAGAAATTCAGATAAGGTGAATATAAAACTGATCAGGTAACTAGGTAATATTGAAATTGATGATGTATTTTGTTTTTTGTTTCAATGTTTCTCTGATGCTGAAAATCGAATTGATTCTGAAAGAAGTTATATTATTTTCAGACCATTGAATATTGATTGAAAGCAGTTCTGACATATATCGGCATGTGATGCTACAAAATCCTATTCATATGTATATCAGAAAGTGGTACAACGACGAACTGTCTGCAACCCAGTGAAATCTTTTGTAATCTTCGGAATAAGTGTCTATTGATATCTCTAACACTCATAATATAGCACTTCTGCAGATGATGAATTTGACAGACAACAATTTCCATTTATTTGTCGATAGTATTTTGCACTGCCTACTAGAATATAATCTGGAATATTTGGGCATCAGTTATCATGCAGAATCAAGTATACTGCTAATGTAGTATATCTCCGAAAATATCGGTTTTGACCATGAGGAAAGTAATCAGGAATGAAGAGCTCATTTTTATAATATCGAATTGAATCATGAGAATGAAAATGAGGTGCATTTGAATATATTGACATTTTCGATGTTTCATTCATTCTTCTGTACCACTCTTCTGCGTACCCTGTGAATCATTCATTCATCCTTTTATATTCATAATTTTATTATTGCATGTTATCAACATTGCTGTTAGAAAAAATCGGCTCTAGGTGAGGGGGCCACTGAAAGGGGTAAATTATCGATATTGGAATTAGTGTCGTTCGCTTAGCGATGTTACGACTGCGAGCCATTGGTGTGAATCGAGGAGTGGGGGGGGGGGAAGAGTGAGATCGCTGAGGCGATTTTTATGCCCGCCGGGTTCAGTTGATGCTGGAGCGGAGAGGCACGCGGATAGACTGATGCGGAAATTTTTGTCCAGAGTTCTTCGTTTCTCCGATATAGTTTCTGATCTGCACCTCCATTAGAGCATTGAAGTCTCCAGTAGTTTCTTGTCTGGTCACCTATTGAAGTCCACGGTAGTTCCTGAATGTTCAATGTCTATAGATACCCATTGAAATATTCGAACGTATCTGCTTCAAATGTCCATATATAATCCTCTAGTAGTTTATAATCTGCACCCCATTGGAAACTATAAATTTGTCGTAGCTACTTAACATTGCTTTCGTCTGAATGGCCGTCGAAGTCTCAACACCTATTGACATCGTTCAAAGTTCCTTATTATGAGAATGTCTACTGAATCTAGTCTTGTCTAGTAATTTAGGTTTAGATGTTTATTGAAATCTCGGAATTTTCTTGTCAGAATTGGAGTTTGTGGTCTGACCGCCTATTGCAATCTCCTTCAGTCAACGTTACACTAGAGTATATAGAATAGATATTTGTGGCCAATTTACAAAGAGAGTTTTCGAAGTTATTGGTACCTATTCATTTCAATGCATTGGAATGAGAGTTTGTAGAGTTCTCGATATGAGAAACTTATAAATTATTGACTAATGAAAGCTTTCCGAAAAACTTATATCCTACAAAAGTTCAGAAACAATTCCAACAACTTCTCTCTGTATCCTCATAAGGTACGCGGGATGTTCCATCACGAACAATATCTATATAGATATTCCCTTCAGTGCGCTCCAAGAGATGAAATAAATTGATTTTAAGGAATGTAATACGAAAAAATGGAGAATATGTACATGAAATAGATACAAATTACGAGGCGGAAGCAATATCGAGTTGAAGATATCTATACTAGTTTTTCAGTAGGAATTTGGAAGTTGACATGAAGTTGCGTCATCACGAATGAGAACAATGAGTGAAAATATACTTCTTCATCATTATGTGTTGTTGAGTGGTTTGATATTGGAGGGTAAGGCATTGTATGAATGCAGATCTGATGAATTTTCGACTGGCTATAGGCAACTAGGTATATATTCAAATTGGTGATATATTTCGTTTGTTGTTTCAATATGTTCCTCTGATGCTGAAAATCAAATAGAATATAAAGGAATTGGTATATATATTCTCAGACCATTGAATTTTGATTGGCAATGGTTCTGACTTTTATCGGCACGTGATGCTACAGTATCTTATTCAAAGGAATATCAGAACGTGGTACAACGACGATTTGACTGCACTCCAGTGAAATAACAACATTTTCTCACTGACATCAAAGTAACCTAGCCCAAATCTTTTGTAATCTTCGAACGTTCTAGCTATAATATCAACTAGAAATAGAAATGACTATTGATATTTCTAACTTCCATATTGGACTTGTGCAGATGATGAATCTGACAGGGAAAAATTTCCATTCATTGTCGATAGTATTTCGCTCTGCCTACAAGAATATTATAATCTGCAATATTTGGACACCAGTTATTATGCAGAATTAACTATACTTCCAATGAAATATCTCCGGATATATCAGTTTTGGCTATGAGGAAAGTGCATTTGAATATATTGACATATTCAATGTTTCATTCATTTTTCTGTATCACTCTTCTGCGTACCCTGTGAATCATTCATTCATCCTTCTATATTCATAATTTTATCATTGCTTGTTATCAACATTGCTGTTAGAAGAAATCGGCTCTAGGTGAGGGGGTCACTGAAAGGGGTGAATTATCGATATTGGAATTAGTGTCGTTCGCATAGCGATGTTACGACTGCGAGCCATTGGTGTGAATCGAGGGGTGGGGGGAAGAGTGAGATCGCTGAGGCGATTTTTATGCCCGCCGGGTTCAGTTGATGCTGGAGCGGAGAGGCACGCGGATATGCGGAAATTTTTGTCCTGGAGGTTGCTGGTCTGTTCGGCTATCGGAGTCTCCAATATAGTTTGTGGTCTGCACCTAAATTGAAGTCTCCAGTAGTTTCTTGTCCGACCACCTATTTAATTCTCCGGTGGTTTCTTGCCTGGACACCTATTGAAGTCTCCGGTAGTTTCTTGTCTAGGAACCTATTGACGTCTCCGGTAGTTACTGTCTAGATACTCTATAGATACCCATTGACATTT